GACAGACCAAGAGCTGCTTCGTCCAAATGATCCCGATTCGCGTCACACGTAACACTGCAATCGACATGCACGTTGCAGTAACTGTTGCCGGTGGTGGGGCTTGCGTCCGAATTTCTCTTTTCTTCTTCTTCTTCTTCTTCACTTCTCGTGAAAAGACTTTGGCGGTGACGGATTGGAGTGGCAAGGTGTGGATGAGACGCCAGACACACCTGCCAGAGCTGCGGCATGGCACGGGGCACTCGGGTCAGTACCCTGGGCAGGGCAGGGGCAGGGGCAGGGGCAGCTGGCTGGCTGGCTGGCTGGCAGGCAGGCAGACTGGCTGACTAGCTCTACACACGAGGGTAATCAAGCAGTAACCACTGAGGAGGAGGAGCAGGAGGAGGACGAGGAGGACGAGGAGGAGGGGAGGAGGAGCTAAGGGCGAGGCTCGAGCAGGGACATGGCGTGCGGACTGACGGGAGGGGGTGCAGCGCCGCTGACTTACTTGACTCCCAACTTGGTAGCCACTCGCTTCCACTGGGAGAAGCCGGACAGTCTGCGGACGGGACTGGACACGCAGCCACTGTTGGGGCGGGCCGGGGGATTAGCGGGCCGCGCGGGCCAGGACACGCAGCCACTGTTGGGGTGGGCCAAGGTTAGCGGGCCATGCGGGCCATGACACCACTGTGGAGTCGCGCTAGCCGCCTCACCGCGCTTTGCACACACACACACCCTGGGCTAAGCCGAACTTCGCACGGTGCGCCATTGTGTACACATTACCAATATCAACCTCCAGTTTGAATTTGAGTAGCTAAGAGATGGTTTTAGTCACACAGTGAATTAAGAAACCTATTAGTAGTTCATGAAATAAACTATGATAGCTCTTGAAAAGATCATGCAATAGAAAAATGAACATTGGAAGAAAATTTTGTTTATTTGTAATCTCTTTATATATGCTTTGTACTGATAACAAGCACATGATTAATCTCAATATCTTAGGAAAATTACTTTCATAAAAAACAGGATTTTAGCGTTTCAGATGAACTAGTCTTGGCTTTATAGCAAAGATTTTAATTATATCTTATCAAACACTTCTCAATGTCAAATCCGACTGGTATATCATAAAATGCTGAAACCAATATAAAAAAAATCTTTTCAAAAGAGAGACGGGTATCTGAACTGAGTTTGCAAGGGGAAAATAATAAAACAAGAAACTAAATGAAAAGAAACGGCGTCGACGGTTGAGTAAATGAAATATGGGTTGTGATACCGTAGACTTGAAACGCATTAACAAATTCGGGCTAACAACAAAATATTTACTTTCTCTCTTTTTGTGATTTACTTATTTTACTGAGACCCTAATTCATAGTGTAATAATAAGCATTCGTGTGGTTGATAAGCAGGATACGTGGTTCAGCGGTACCGCTAAAGCAGGGAAGGGCCAGCTGGCCGGTGAGGCTTGTTAAAATCCCTCTCCCTATGCAGCTGAGGCATGAAGCGGGCTGCGTGAACGTCGCCTGTGATCTCCAAGGTAAGGATCAGAACAGCACCTTACCCCCCATCAAGAGTTATGTAACATGCACATACGATGCGGCCCACATCTCTTAGACAAGGTTTAGCTTTTCCTCTGTGAGACTCTATGTCTGGCTTTACAAGGGGAGGAGGGTGGGGAGGAGCACAAATTGTACGAGTGATGTGGGTTCAGCATCTGAGCGAGAGCCGGAGCTTGGCCAGAGCGTGTGGGCCGGACAGCTTGTGTAGTGTGAATGTTGCGGACGTGTCCTTGGTAGTGGTGCTTATCTACAACGTGGGCTTTTATCTTACGAAAGGATTGTGGTCAATTCTCTCTCTCTCGTTCTCGCTCTCTCACTCTTGCTCTCTCTCTCTCTCTCTCTCTCTCTCTCTCTCTCTCTCTCTCTCTCTCTCTCTCTCTCTCTCTCTCTCTCTCTCTCTCTCTCTCTCCTTTCTGGTGGAATGTGATAGTGGGCGCTTTAAGTCTCAGGCGTGGGTGTTGTCATGATTTTTATCATTCCAGAGGTCGGGAGCGGGGCGGGAGTGGGGCCTGGCCGGGCTCGCTCTCCCGTTTACAGTCGGACACGCTGTTAAAGTCCACAACTTGTGGCTCGTGTCGAGGTGAGCGAAATTAATACAAAAAGCTGACAACTGGCGAAGGGGTCAGTTTTGAGTGGACTGACGTTATATTATGGTCCTTCCCATCGCCATTGCATGTGAACTCTTCACACAGCCGGGACAGGCCTCACCCGGCCGCCTCCGCGCGTGCTCGCCGATGCTGACCAAACCATCCTCAAACCAAAGTGCAAAAAAGCGACCAAATTATCCGAAAACCTTGCAAAAAATCATCAATTTCTGGCAAACTTATTGGACAATGCGGATATCTTTTAAAAAAATAATTAAAGTAAAAACAAATCATAAAAGGCAGCAAACACATAACACGTTCACCTATTTCGACCATGCAAAGTTGATCCATCACAGAGCGAGGCCAAGTCTCCCTCGCGTCAAG